GAACTTTCTTAAGACAGAGGGAGCTATAAAGCTCTTCCAAAGAGGGGAGAGGGCAACCAATGATCTTCTGGGCAACGATGTTAATCCTCTGGAGTGCTGTCCTATCTTCAGGGGTAGGTTTCTACTGGTTCTGTCCATCTCTGGAGAACCGGTAGCTCTGAAGAGCAGCAGACATAGAACCAGTTCTATGTCTGCTGATGTTTTTGCCTACCCGGGCTCTTACCTGATCCTTATTTCCTGATTTTTCAACTTCAGCTGCCAAGCGAGCCACAGCTGCAGTTTAAAAAACAAGAAAAGAGGGCTGTTTCAAAGGCTGCTTCTTGGTAGTGTGCTAATGACATGCTAATTATGATTTATGATGATTTACAGGCTCACAGCGAGCTCGTAAATCCCAAACCTGTAGTTAACCCTTTCGTATCCAACCCCTGCCTATCTGCCACTGTGCAATTGGCAAATCATATACAGGTGCAGTAAGTTAAGATATTCCATGGTAAAGGTCATCAGCAGTTTTTCATTTAGTTGTTTCCTGAGAAGTCTCAGGTAGTATAAACTCTGCCGGACCCTTTTGACCAGTGCTGCAATGTGAGTGCCTGAGGTCAGGTCCTGTTTTATACCCAGAAACTTAAAAATGGCTACTTGCTCCGCTCAGTCTCCATTGGTAAGCAAGGGCTGGATGTCTGATCTATTCCTTTTATAGTCCACTATAAGCTCCTTGGTCTTATTGGTGTTAAGGACCAAGTTATTGTCTCCACACCACAATAGCAACCGGTCCACCTCATCTCAATAGATGAGTCCCACCATTGTTATATCATCTGCAAATTTAATAATAATAATAATATAGCATGAGTGGGAATGCTGTCATGCACATAAAGAGTATCGAGTAAGGGACTCAACATGCAGTCCTGTGGTGTACCAGTGTTAAGAATAAGGGCTGAAGAGATATGATCCTCTGAGAGTGGCCAGACAGGAAATCCATAATCCAAAGGCAGATTGAATAAGAAAGTCTACTAACCATAAGTTTAGACACTAGTCTATGTGGAAGTATTGTATTAAATGCAGAGCTAAATTCTACAAAAAGCATCCTCACATAACCCCCCCCCCAACGCACACACACACATACTGTTCCAAAGCAGTGTGAACAGTGATGGCTATGGCGTCCTCTGTAGATCTATTTCTTCTGTATACAAAGTGGTGTTTATCAAATGTATACGGAAGACCAGAAATGATGTGCCGGCAAACCAATTTCTCAAAGCACTTCATGATGATAGTGAGTGAGTGCCACTGGTCTGTAATTGTTAAGGCTATTGATAGGGAACTTCTTTGGCAGCAGAACAATGGTGAAAGCCTTCAAACAAGATCGAATAATGAACTGAGATAAAGACCTGATTGAAGATCTTGGTAAAGACTCCAGCCAACTGATCAGCATAGTTTTTAAGCACTCGGCTAGAGATACTGTCAGGACCGGCAGCCTTTCTAGGGTCCACAGCCCTCAAAATGCTCCTACTTCCTATTCCTCCACAATGAGATGGGGGCTACAATTGGCTGGTGGCTATATTTTAGCTGTCTCTGTGTCTTTTTCACACATTGCTTCTCCATTTTGGCTTTCTTTTGGTAAAGTAAATGATGATGTGATGATATCATGAGTTGTTCATTGAGGCTGTATCTATTTTTAATACTGTTAAGGACTAGACATAATACCTAAAACCATATAATTCATGGTTAAAAGTAAAGCGTGTACTTTCTTTTTCACATGATTGTATCTATCTATCTCATTTCTACACCACGTATCTTGCCTAAATGACTGAGCGGTTTACAATAAAAACTCTTTCTGCATTTGATTCCCACAGCTTTGTCAAATATTTATTTCTTTTCATGCGGCAGGGGAATTTTCACAAGTTGTTAGGTGTCAAAATCTCTATCTCTTCTTTTTCTATTGCATTGCATTTCTGGGCTTCATGAATTGGCAGCTTTGGAGCATTCTCTCCCAGTCTGTCTGTTTTACCCCTTTCCTCTTGACCATGAATGAAAACTTGCTTCTCTACGAGTGCTTTAACAATGGGAATGCCAACTTATTTTATCTGCCTTAACCTGAATAAATTGACTGGAAAAGAACATGATTTCTATTTGCCACTTCTTCTATCTGACAATTGTTTGATTCTTTTTTATTAGTTTTATTGTTTTAAATGAGGTTTTATATTCTTCTGTAAACTGCCTTGAGTTGCCATGTGCGAATAGGCAGCAATATAAATTCAATAAATAAATATATTTCTCGATTATCCAGTTCCATGCCTCCTAAACTGTATTAGTTTCTTTTTACTTTTAGCCCTATGTTTTATTTGTATCTGTTTTATTTGTATTTGACTGATAGCATAATATAGGATTGATTTAAATTTGGCTGTTGAAATAGTTCCCCTACTTATTTTTAATCCAACTTGTATCAACCAGTATATACACACCCAGCAGAAAATATTCTTTTTGTTAATCCATTTTGTGTAAAGGAACAGGTTTCTGATTAATAATCCTATTTATGTTTAGATAATCCAATATCTGTCTATTCATTAATTCTCATTCATTATCATATACCGTATTTTGGGGGGTATAAGACGCTCCGAAGTATAAGATGCACCGAGCTTTTGGGGAAGAAAACAAAGGGGGGAAATCTGCCTCTGCCTCCCAGCAATTTGCCTCCAAACAGCATACAGCCTGTTTAGCTTCAGCACAGCCGGATTAGCACAAGCAGCTGATTGTCAGTTGGATGGCCTCCCGATGATCAGCTGTTTCAGGCTGCAGTGCTATTATTGCCTCCACACACCCCATTTTCGGCCTCCTCATCCCATTTTCAGCCTCTGCGTGCCCCATTTTCAGCCCATTCCAGGTGGCGGAAATCGGAATGGGCGGAAAATGGGGTGTGTGGAGGCTGAAATGGGGCGCGTGGAGGCAGCAATAGGTAATGGCAACCCCTGCATCCTGAAACAGCTGATCGTCAGGAGGCCAATCCAACCAACAATAAGCTAATCAGGCTGTGCTGAAGCTGAAACAGCCTGTTTGCTGCAAGGAGGCAAATTGCTGGGAGGCAGGGACCGGTGGGTAGGTGGGGCTTCGGCAACATTCACTGTATAAGACGCACAGACTTTTCCACCCACTTTTTTTGAAAAAGTGTGTTTTATACTCCAAAAATACGGTATAATCTGTGCTTTGTTCCAAATTTGTTTTCTACATAAACCACAAATTGCTTGAGTCTGCTGAACTTGTTATATTTGTGGCTTATCAGGTGAAAACAATAATAAGATGATTTATTAAAATACTATGTTTTGTGGTTTTTTAAAATTTCATAATTATAATAAACTTGACTGCAGAGTATAGACTTATCCCAGCTATCAGTTAATGATAAGAGACATTTATTACATTTGAAGTAAAAGATAGATTAAGAAATATATAGAATAAGGAAGCTGTACTTCCATCTAAACCAGGGGTCGCCAACCTTTTGGACCTCAGGGACCACCAAACTCATAATTTTAAATCCCAGAGACCAGTAATACGAATTTTGACGGACGGTGGCTTGCTGACAGTGGTGGGAGAGAGAGAGAGAGAGAGATCTGATCTAACCTCTCTCTCTCTCTCCCCCTCCCTCCCCCCCCTCTAATACACCACACACACATGGGCAGGGGTGGGATTCAAATTTCTTAACAACTGGTTCTTGAGCATGGTCTAATTTGTGGGTGTGGCTTGGTGGTCATGTGACTTTTCTTGGCATGGCTTGTATGTAAATATTATAAATATTGATGTAAATATTGATTTTTTTATTAAAAAAAGAGCAATTTTTACCCAAAAGCAGACAAAGCAGGCAGGCAGATTGAGTTGCTCACAGAATCAAAGATTCACTTAGATCTGTGTTTCTGCCATTGGCTATCTGAGTCTGCAACTGAACCTTCAGTCTTAAGGTTCGTCTCTGCAGAGCTGAAGATCTAAAGATTAGAAAGCAAGAAATCCAACTATTTCCTTTTTCTAGCTAATCTAAATTCCTGGCACAGCAGAACAGCTGATGTTTGGGGGTGGAAGGGAAAATGGCAACTTAGCAGGCAAATTTACGAGGTATGGAGTGAGTGGGCGGGGAGAGTTCCCACAGGCGCAGCCTTTGTGTTCCCGCACAGCCTGGATTAATTGCTTTGGGGGGGGTGCTCTGGGAGTGACATTTCTCTGCGGACCACCAAAATTTTCTTGCGTACCACCAATGGGCCACAGCCCACCAGTTGGCAACCACTGATCTAAACAACACTGAGAGAAAGAGTATATGCCCAGGATTTCCTTTATCACTTAAACCCAGGGACTCATTAACAAGCCAGATGAAAGAGACACTGAATGATATTGTATAAAGAATATTTCTCTTATCTGTCTCTTGCTATTTGCTCTAGTGGTTCACAGATGTAAAAAAAAAAAAAGAAACTAATATTTTTATTGCCATATGATTCCAGCAGGATGTTGTACCCAAAGCTTCATAACAATTAGCAAAGATAGTAAGAAGAATTTGCCATTATCAATTGACATGATCAACAACTTGAATATTATCTGCTTCAAAATAAACTGCCTATCATTTGAACAGCTGTATCTGATGATATACAGATTGAAATGTGGCTCTTTTGAATTTGGTACTAACTGCCATCAGAGGTTCTGGTTTTGATTTCTTAAAACAATAAACATAGTTAATGCAAGCAAAAGTTTAAAGATTCTTAATAAAAATTGTTAAGTAGGAATTCTGGTCATTGTTAAACATAGTTAGCAAAGTGAATGTAACAGAAGAAAGCAGGAAAGAAGCAGAGGAAATTTGAAGGATTTTAGGAAAAGCAGGAAACATTTGATAGTACTATTTTTAATAATATTAATTCTATATCAATATATTAGTATTCCTTAATAATATTGATTACTTTTATTAACAACTAATTATATTTCATATGTATAGTTCAGTATTCTGGAAATGTGATATCTTTTAACTCTTTTTTCAGGTATGATGCTTTGTGCATTCTCCTTCGACATAGCAAGAATGTTCGTTTTTGGTTTGCACATAATGTACTTTTCAATGTTTCAAATCGCTTCTCTGAATATCTTTTGGAATGTCCTAGTGCTGAAGTAAGAGGAGCATTTGCAAAATTGATAGTATTTATTGCACACTTTTCATTACAAGATGGACCATGTCCTTCTCCTTTTGCTTCACCTGGACCTTCTAGTCAGGTATGAAACCAAAATGCAATATGAAAAAACTAAGTTTATATACAATCGTATAATAACCTGCTTTGATATAAAGCATCCTAGTTGGTTAACTATTTATGAATTCATATTGCTTATTTAGGTAGTCTGCGAGTTACAACTCTTCATTTAGTGACCATTCAAAGTTACAGTGGCACTGAAAAAAATGATTTATGGCAGTTTTTCCACACTTACAACTGTTGTAGCATCCCCATGGTTATGTGATTAAAATTCAGTTGCTTGGCAACTGACTCATTTGAAGGTTACATTGTCCCAGGGTCGTGTGATTCCCTTTTGCAACCTTCTGGACCAGCAAAGTCAAAGCCAGATTCACTTAACAACCATATTACTAAGTTATCAACTACAGTGATTCACTTAACAACTGTGGTAAGAAAGGTCATGGGAAACTCACTTAACAAATATCTTGCTTAGCAACAGAAATTTTGGGCTCAATTGTGGTTGTAAGTCAAGGATTACCTGTATTAACTTCCTGAATATAACTGGCAGGTGATATCTGCTTCATATTTAGTTGATTTAGCTTGGAGAGGAAGAGGTAATCACTTAAGTTGTGGGGAAAACAGGAGGCAGGACTATTACAGGTAGTCCTCAACTTGCAACCAGTTGTTTAGTGACTGTTCAAAGTTATGATGGTACTGAAAAATAGCTTTATACTTTTCACATTTCATCCATTGCATTCTTTCCATGGTCACATGATCAAAAATTGAGCACTTGACAGTTGGAATGTATTTATCACAATTGTACTGTCTCGGGTCATGTGATCATCATTTATAACCTTCCCATCTAGTTCCCAACAAGTAAAGTCAATGGGGGAAGCTGAATTTATTTAATGAATTCATTTAATAACAGTAGTGATTTGCTTAACAACTCACTTAACAACTGCGTTGTTTAGCATGGAAATTTTGGGCTTAATTGTGGTCCTACATCAATCTGTAGTTAGGTTGACTGCCTTGAGTTATTCAAATATACAAATATATATTTGTGTGTGTGTGTGTGTATAGTAATGAAAAATATGGGATATTATTATCATTATTGTGGTTGGTTGCCCAGTTAGCCAAATGTTTAAACTGAATTTGGTTTTTATCCACCTATCAAGTCTTTGCTAAGAGCCTGAGATAATCAGATATTGTTTGATTATGATTGGTTAGACAATTATTATTTCTCTGCATTATATGCATACAGTGTGCATACATTACACTAGATCTTCACAGCAGTATAAAATAGTTAATACTCACTTTCATTACATTGTGATTTGAGATTTGCTCCCAGTCCAGTTGATCCCTTAAAAAGGTATAATAAAACTGTAATTTATGTTCTAATATAATTAGCCTGTAAATAGATATTTAACTTGCCTCATTTTTATAGGCATATGACAATTTAAGTTTGAGTGACCATTTGTTAAGAGCTGTACTGAATCTTCTTAGAAGGGAAGTGTCTGAGCATGGACGTCATTTACAGCAATATTTCAACTTGTTCGTGATGTATGCCAACTTAGGTAATTTTCTGTTTGTTTCTAAAAACAATTAAACTAAATATTCAGATAATTTCATCTGATTATGCCATATTATTCTCTGTTTCCCTTCCCTTTGAAATAATCTAATCCCATTTAAAGGTTCATGCCATTTTTTTATATAGCCCATTGGGTGTTAGGGAAATTTTTTCAGTGAAAACTGTGGTTTTTAAGTTACCTTCTGGAAATTCCCTCCAATTGTTAAGTGAAAAAAATCAGTAATTGGGAGGCTTCTGTGAAATATTTATTATCAATATATATATTTGAATCCAAGGCTAGAGGGAGTATTAAATGTTTTCTAAACTTTAAGGGTGGAGTAAAAATATATGTCAGAACTGGCACACTCTAAGTTGCGCTGATTATAAACAATGCCACCTATTAGGATCCTGGAAGTACACCTCTTCTGTAACAATGCCTACCTTCTGAATAAGGTCCTGTTCCCCCCGAAATTTAAATGGCACCCACCCTTCTTGGATTTCAAAGGACTTTAAAGTCCTGGCTCTTCACTCAAGCCTTTGGAGAGGGCAATACCGTGTTTCCCTGAAAATACAGCCTACTCTGGAAGTAAGTCCTAGCTTGATTTTTACACATGCACCCAGTATAAGCCCTACCCCCCTAAATAAGCCCTAATTAAGACCACGCCCACTCCAGGATACACGGCTAAAAATTAAGCTAGGGTGGGTTGGGGGAGGTGGAGCTGCCCTACTACTTATCTTTGGACAGCTGCAGCCAGGCCTCACATACCTCAGCCCGTTTTTTTCTGCAGCTGGCAAGGCTTTCCTGAAGGCCTCTGTAGCTGATAACAGAGCTCCGGATTGAACTTGGAGAGAAAGGAATAAAGAAACTTGAACCTTCACGTGTGGACCTGGTCTCTTGCACCTTATACTCTATTATATCTTATTGAATGAGAAATATTTGTTCACTGATTTGAATCACTTAACTGGTTGTGATTCATAACTAAAAACTCCGCCAATATTGAATTTTGGTGCATGTATCTAATTTCTTGACATATGTACAGAAGTAATTTGCAATTTACTTCTTCTGGGATGTTTTCCTGACATGATACTCTTAATTGATAATTTTCAGATTTCCATGTAGTCCTCATTCAAATGCTAATTAGATTTGATAATACTTTTTTGGAATCTATTAGGGTCAATTAGCTGTTGCTGCCTGGTTATATTCACACTTCCATTGAATTTTTGTAGATAATATTTTGAACAAATATTATTAGATTCCTAATGATTTTTCCCTCTTATCACCTTTCTATTTAGGTGTAGCAGAAAAAACACAACTTTTAAAATTAAATGTCCCTGCAACATTTATGCTTGTGGCACTGGATGAAGGCCCGGGTCCTCCAATCAAATACCAGTATGCTGAATTGGGCAAACTATACACTGTGGTGTCCCAACTAATCCGCTGTTGCAATGTGGCATCACGAATGCAATCTTCTATTAATGGTACTATTTTGCAATTTATAAAAGAATGTGTTTAGTATGAAACCTGTGTGATGGAATTTGGACAAACTTTGCAACATGTTTCTAATAGATTTAATAATAGGAAATTTAAATAATGAGAAGCTTAAATCGTCTGTTCTGCATAAGAAATTTCATTACTGTTAGATCTTACTGAATATGTTATATCAATATAACATGTATATATCAATATAACATGTATACAGAATATACTGATTTATATTCTGTACTGATAAAGAGGTGAGAGTGATCAGGCTCTGAGATGCTTTCTTAAGAAACAGCATGAATCAGTTTGAAGTAGAAAATTGAAATTTTAGAATGCTTCCATTTAGAAGCATGGACTATATTCTGTCCTTAGAAAAAGTACTAGCTTTTACTTTAACATCAGCTTCCTTGTGTTAATTTCAATGTCATAATTTGAATTATATTTTTAAAGAAAATTATATTATTAAATTTGCTAATAGAATAGAAATCAATGTCAGTGATAGATAAAACTTACTTTGACTTTTGTTTTAACACAGTTGTCAAGTAGTATGACCAAATAGCTAGCTTCAATATGAGAGCACTGCAGCACTAAAAAAACCACCACATTCTGGAATGACATTTTACATAACTAACTGATGTTTCTGCAAATAATTGCTTGCAGCTTCAATTATAAATGTATCTTTGGTACAATAGGTCAGTCCTGGGCATTTTACAGCCTGCAAGCCACATCCAGACCACATTTGGCCCTTTGGCTGTCTCTGACTGACCAACAGTGATGGTGGGTAAGGGAGGCAGTGGGGAGGGAGATGGCAGCCCTCCACAACTGTTCCAGTTTCTCATGTCCTTTGGGAAAATTAATTGCCCACCCATTATCTTGGTAAACACCTATATAAGAGTTTTCTGTTAAACAGGAGATATGTACGTTTGTGTGTTAGCATGGTTTTTAGAATTTGATGTTATTAATATATATCATTAAGAGCAAAAAATAAAAGTACTGCATACTTATTTTAGGTAATCCTCCACTTAGCAATCCATATGGTGATCCTAATTTATCACAACCAATAATGGCACTGCAGCAAAATGTGGCAGACATTTTGTTTGTGCGGACCAGTTATGTGAAAAAAATTATAGAAGATTGTAGTAATTCAGAAGAGACTATCAAATTACTTCGTTTCTGCTGTTGGGAAAATCCTCAGTTTTCATCTACAGTTCTCAGTGAATTACTTTGGCAGGTAAAAGCAAAAAAAATGTATCCTATGGTTTTGTCATATCATTGTTACTGATATATGTAGTTTGATTCATGACCATTTAAAATTTTGCATCCCACATCTCAAATATATTTCCAAGCAAAATGGCTCTAGCATATTAAAACAAGTAATAGCAGAATTGAAGCTTCTGAACCAGCTCACAGGAATTGGTTTCATAATATGTCTTTTGATGCACTGAACTTTAAGAACTGATTTTTGCTCTTGAAGAAGCAACTTCAGTGCATGGGAAGTAATTCATAAATAGTTTTTGGGCAATTTAATTTACACTACATGGCAAAACTCAATTAACAAAGGGTTTTACATGAGACAGACCATATTTCCACAGTGGTTTACTGATTTGTATAATGAAATTATGACATAAATGTTATGTAAAATGATACAACTTTTCATTATGGTGTCTTTAGGCACATGAGCTAAATAGCTGTAATAATGAACCTTTATATATAATGCATGTTTGTAAATAATGGAGATCTTCCCTTCGCAGTGAGTCATATAAGTTTCACTGTACTGTCAAAACAAAAACAAAAAACATAGTTAGCTGCAACGTAGCTGCAGTTCTGGGTTTGATGTTGCAGTACTAACAAGTTCTATGTTTTATTTTAATTGCTTTCTAAAATCAGAAGCAATAGCCATGTATCAGTAGATCTAGAATATGAATAGGGAGAAGGAAAAATAGAATTCCCCAATTTTTTGATAATTGATTTGATATTAATGTGAACTAATCTAGTGGGAAAGCATAAAACTTTGGAAAATACATGTGTATTTTTAGTATTTTATTCTAATAAAGAACATATCTAGAATTCAGTGATTTTAACACACACACACACACACACACACACTTAGATTCACATACAGGCATATGTACATGAAGAGTAATTAATCATTTAATTATAAAACCTTACTTAAAATAATTTTCCCAATAGTTTGTTATGACCTAAAAAGGTTCATAATACTAATTCAGGTTACATATTATATGTGAGATATGCTTGAATTATCAGAAGTTGTAATTAAATATTTTCCTTTCAAGGTTGCATATTCTTACACATATGAACTTCGACCTTATTTGGATCTACTTCTCCAAATCTTACTAATTGAGGATTCTTGGCAGACTCACAGGTTAGCATTTGAGATTCTTGGTCTTTTGTTCTGTTTCAAAAACCAACTGGAAGCCTAAAACTAATTATTAACTTGCCTAACCCCAAAAAGGATCAGTTAATAATGGGATTTATTCAAAGTCAGACCAAGTTTGAATGACAGATTTTAAATTTATGTACGCATTTGCACTGGGGGGGATGTAATGGATAAATATATTTCTAATACAAAATCTGTTACTTCTTCTTGACATTTAAATGTTTTATTGGTAAAGTATAATAACTAAAGATGAATCAAAGTGAAACTGAAAATATAGCTTTGCTAATATAATGAAGAATATATAAAAGAGTAATTAAACTAAAGATACATCCATTAAGTAGCAGCATAGAATTAGCTCAACCCTTTAACATATCATTAAATTTAACTATATGTCAGAGGCAGTGGTGGGATTCAAAAACTTTTACTACTGGTTCTGTGGGCGTGGCTTATTTGGTGGGCATGGCGTGGTGGTCATGTGACTGGGTGAGTGTGGCCAACTCAATGTCACTCAAGTCAAGGGGTGCTTCACCTGGCCCCTCCCCTCCCGCCATTCCTTGTCACACCCAGCCTCAGTGTATCTATAGTTCTGTAAAAATATTGTTCACCTTTTTTGACTTTATTATTTACATACGATAGATATACTTTCATGGACCACTGATAGGAGGAAATGGCTCACATGCTTTGCCCAAGTGTGATAGGCAACAGGCTTTTAAGGGGCTGCCACAAAGAAGGGAGGGGCAATGTATTTTCTAAAGCACCAGAAGGCAAACAAGAAGCAATGGATGGAAACTGAATAAACAGAGAAGCAACCTAAAACCAAGGAGAAATTTCCTGACACTGAGAACAATTAACCAGTGGACCTGCTTGTCTTCAGAAGTTCTGGGTGCTCAATCACTGGAAGTTTTTAAGAAAAGACTGGACAACCGTTTCTCTGAAATGCTATAGGGTTCCCCCCAAGGTCCCATCAAAATGTTATTGTTATTCTGACACCTTTCCCAGGACTGCTACTCAGAGTTTGGCATCCTCAGTTTTCCTGCTTGAGCAGGGGTTTGGACTAGAAGACCTCCACGAAGTCCCTTTCAATTCTGTTGTAAAGACACATGTATTTATGCTCTGGACATTGAACGCATGTATTGTAAACTCTGAAAAGTACCTGGGCAAAAGAAAGGTAGTAAAATCACTCTAGGTGTAGGGACAGTGTAAAATATTAATATATGATAAATAATGGAACAATTAAAAATAATAGCACAGAGGGTTTTTTTTCTCTCTCACTCTCCCTTCCTATTTCTCTTTCTCCCTTTCTTTTTCCTTTCTTTCTCTTTCTCTTTCTTTCTCTCCTTCTTTCTTGTTCTTTCTTTCTTTTTCTTTCTTTCTTTCTTTTTTCTCTCTTATTTTTCTTTCCTTCTTTCTGTTTCTCTTTGTTTCTTTCCCTTCCTCTTTCTTGCTCTTTCCTCTTATTTTTCTTTGTTTCTTTCCTTTTCTTTCTCTCTCTTCCTCTTTTCCCCTCTCTTTCCCTCTCCCTCTCTCTTTCTTGTCTCTGTCTCTCTCTCTCTCACACACACACACACACACACTCACACACGCACAACACACTCTCTTGTGATGCATACACACCTAGTCTGGAACAAACTGATCCAGCGAGCTCCAGAGAAACGGGCAGCAGGAGAACAAAGAAAGCTCGTGGAGGTGCTCCGGTGGGTGGTGGGACTACAGGAAGCAGCCCTGGGAGTTCCTGCCCTCCCTTTTGGGCACCACCACTGCCGCTTGCTCTGCCGCCCACACTCACACCCCAAACTCTCTGCCCTTAGCAACAAACACCCCACACACCCATGTACCCCTTGGAGCTCCCCAGGCTCCCAACGCTCATCCTGCAGCTGTGCCTCCCTGCTCACCCCTTGCCTTGCCCCAACGGACAGCCATAGTGCGTGCCTCTCCTGGCCCCACTCGTCACACACAGGGCAGCTGTACCAGCAACAGACCACTGCCTCCTCTGCCTCCCCTGAATCCTTGCCCTGCACTGCCCCACACCTTCGCCGCTCATTGAGGAGGAACTGGAGCGCAAAGCCTTCACCCCTTCAACCTTGCACTCTGCCACCAATCACCCCCCCCCCCCCCCCCGGAATTTCTCAATTCTCCAAAATTAATATACAGAAAAATCCACATTCTTTTCATAATGCCATCCAGCCGCAAAGGCCCCCACCAGAGCCCAGTCTCCAAATCCTGGGGGAAGGTCGGGGGGGCTGCTGAATCCCTCGGAGGAGCCTCTTTCAGGGACAGAGCTGCTCTGGTAAAGGGGCAGCACCTTCATCTCCCCACATGACAGTATAGGAAGGAGAGGACCAGGAGGCACCCACTTCCTCTGACTTGGGGAGACAGAAAGGGACCCTCAGAGGGGGGCAGGGTCCCACAAGTCTAGCCCCATCTTGTTCCTGGCCTTCCAAGCGATGGGGAGTGGCTTCCTCTCCATCCGGACCCTCTCAGCTTCCGGGCACTGGGCAATCATATGGATGGGCCTCGCCTGACTGACCAGTCCTGCCAGTTCTCCAGGTCTCCCAAGTGGCAGCCACGGCGCAATGAACGGCGGTGGAGGTGCAAGAAGGCTGCTCACCTGGCCGTGGAGGAAGGAAAGCCCCGGCCCGCTGCTCTGGGTGGCAGCTCTTGGCACCTTGCTTGGCCTCCCTTGTCCTTCTCGGGACCTCTGCAGGACAGGGCTTTCCTTCCTCCCCACCCGGGCAATCGGGTTTCTTGCACTTCCGCCGCCGCTTGTGCCGCCGCTGCCTCATGATAGGGAAGACCTGGGAGAGTGCCGTGTGGTGACTTTGTCAGCCAGCCGAGTCAGGGAACAGCGGGGCAGACCCGGCAAGGTCCTGGGAATGGCGAGGGAGGCGAGGCAAGATCTTGGGATCAGCAAGGGAGGCCCAACAAGATCCCAGAAATGGCCAGGGGGGCTAGCATGACTCGCAGGCTTACCTGTAAGCAGTCATATCAGGGGTGCTCAGTTGGGGCGCAAGCACCATGTGGGAAGGCAGGTTAAAGGCAAGCCAGGAGGACCCAGTGTACCGCATAGGAGAGAGGAGTGACTGGACGGGGAGAGGCAAGCGTCAGGTGTGAATCGGCTGAATACCACCACTGGTCAGAGGAGAGCAGGCCAGGAATGCTTTACGAGTTGACATTATAGATCATGTATTGCTCCATCTTCTCATTTTAATAGTGTACTGCTTCAGCACAATGATATTTATATAATAGGTATTTAATATTCTGCTGTTTAGATGCCTTAATGAATATAGATAAGTGGATATTCTATCAATATTAGTTACAGTTTCAGATATTAATGTTACAAGCACTATCATTTTTTACTGCTTCTTAAGTTGGCCCTCTGCAATTATCTTCCAAGATATTCTGTGTTCTCTTTATTTAGTTTCTGGTAATATTAAGAAAGTGATACTAATCCACTATGTTTAATTACAAAGCTGTTTGCTATTTTTTAAAACAAATCCCAGAAGAGTGAGGAAAGTGATTTTAATGAATCCTTCCCCCTTTTGTATCTCAGAATATTAATTTAACAATTGTTAGGAAGATAAATTAGCATAAATTTGTCTTTGCTGAATACCAGTTCTTTCTTTGTAAAATAACACTGGGTCTAATCCAGATGAGAAGTTGGAAAGGAGTAAAACTACCTTTTTATAACAGAGACAGTTATATAGATTTTTAGCCTTTGTGAAATTCTGATCTTTTGATTTGTTTGGATTCCCTAAGGATTCACAATGCACTTAAAGGAATTCCAGATGATCGTGATGGGCTGTTTGATACCATTCAACGATCCAAGAATCATTATCAAAAAAGGGCTTACCAGTGTATAAAGTGTATGGTGGCTCTCTTCAGCAACTGTCCTGTGGCGTATCAAATTTTACAGGTAATGGTTTCGATATTATTATTTGTGTGGTGCTCATTTAAAAAAACATGGATTGATGGAGGCTTTTTTGGTCGCAACTGAATTCCCAGCAGAATAAATTAGCTAAATGAAGTTATTATTTTAGTGAAATCCTGCCTCTCTATAGAAATACTATTTTTAGTATTTCTTTAATTCTCAGTCATGAATAATAAACAATACATTATATTAAAAGCTGTATGGAATGGAAGAGTTGGAGTAATTCTTCAAATATGGAATGACTTCATTTTTTCTCTACAGAGCAATGGAGATTTGAAGAGAAAATGGACCTGGGCAGTAGAGTGGCTTGGAGATGAGCTAGAACGTCGGCCTTACACTGGCAACCCACAGTATACATACAATAACTGGTCTCCACCAGTACAGAGTAATGAAACATCAAATGGTTACTTTCTGGAGAGGTCTCACAGTGCGAGAATGACTCTTGCAAAGGCTTGTGAACTGTGCCCCGAAGAGGTGAGAAATCTAATGTTATTTTGAAATTCATTGATACACAATCTATCACAAAATTCTTAATAGAATTACAGCTTATATAATAGATATATGGTGTAAGTGTAATATAATTTTGATATTACACTTTAATATGAGCTTTTAAAACCAGAAATTTATAGTTTCTTCATGCAGTGTTAATGAAGTTATTTTGATTGTGTTAAATCTTGAAAAAGAGCTGATGATTTGCATGTTAACATTGGATAGAAAATATTAATATTAAAGGCTTATTATACCAATATATTTTTCCCTTGATACAACATATTGAAGAAAAAAGTCATACATAAAAAGAGAAGTCGTTAAATCTTATATTTCCATTCTTTTCCAAGTTCTACTCTTAAATTTAAGCATCAGTTCTCTAAATTTGCAGATTTTTATTTCTTTGATTTTATCAAGATTTCTCCATACGATAAATTAAGCCATAGTGAAGTTCAAAGTTCTGAACTATACATCATAATATCAAACATATTGAGCATGCAATAGAAAAAGGTAAGATATAAGAGAGTTTGTGACATTTGCATAAACCAGTAAATTTCAGTTATTATCAATCCCAGTTTTCATATTCATGATTATTTTCTTTTCACAATAAAAACCCAGTTTACCATGGAGTGGTGCTGTATCACACACTTCTATTTAAAACATAAACTTAGAGCCAAAATCAGTGCATTGGACTTAATATACCACTGGAAAACTAATTCAACAGCTATTAGAAGTTCTGACCTGACCCTCTTAGTCCAGTGCTGCATATGCATAGTCAGTGTGAGAATAATCCATTTAAGCCAACATTTTTTAACATAGTAGTAATCAGTAAATATTGAATGATATCTAGTTGTTTGAAGCTAATTAAAATAAGTAAATTATGTATTCTTCCTAAGAATAGACGATAGGGCAAAAGTCAACATAGTCAAACAGGTATGATTCCAGTAGAACAGAGCTCTGCAAATGTGTGAGGCAGAATATGCACCCTTTTCTATTTTCTCCTTTATTAGGAACTCAGTTGTTCAGTTTGGAATCTCACAATGAAGAAAATGTAGATGATAAAAACATAACACTAGTAGAATGATGTTTCTATGGGTCATACATTAGTGGCAAGAGGGTTGTAGATGTTAATATACCAAGATGTTAAGTACATACATATAAAATTCCCTTTGAAAGTGATACATGCACAAAAATGGAATGATTTCGTTCTGTATTTGGTAGTTTAAAAATTAGATTAATGAGTTAAAATGTCTATACTGTGTAAGCTTTAAAATGTGTAGGAAAACAATCATCTTTAAATAAAAAAAAGAAACAAAAAGATTTTGCCAATTTTTTTAATGGAGTGGATTTCATTTCTAGGAACCAGATGATCCAGATGCTCCTGATGAGCATGAATCTTCTCCACCAGAAGATGCTCCATTGTACCCCCATTCACCTGGCACCCAGTATCAACAGGTGAGCACAGATGAATCTTAAAGAGAATTTGTTACTTCGCTATAACATCAGTGAAAGGCAACTCCTTCTCTTTCTTTCTAATCACAGCCAGCCTTTTAGATACTGTGCAAACATTTGTTGGTGCTTGCAGGACAATTTTACAAAGCAAGCCTAAATGCCTCAAAATATCTAAAACCATGTGTACATTTTGCATAAAATGACTGCTAATAATAGAAGACAATTAGCACACTCCAAATGTTTTAGTCTATAATTCTCAAATCAGTTTGATTATATAAGCTGTAGCTTACAGAAATTGCTGGTAAGCATACGTTAGGTCCTGATTTCCAAACATAGTGTTTATGTCAGGACCAGTTCTAGATACTTTGGAGCCCCAGGCAAAGTCATAATCACGCCTCCTGGTTTTGGCTCATTTTCCAGTTTTCTTAGGAATTTCAAAAATGCACTCTCTTTTTTTCTTCAAGTTTTTGAGATTTAATACTTATTTTTAGCTCCAGAATTTTTTTTTCTTTTCTCCAACATTTTTTCATACTACACTGGGAAATTATACTAAATGCTCAAGTGGATATTGTTATTGACCAATTTGTTAAATGGGTTAATATTAGTTTCTTCTTATTTGCCTTCATTTTGCTTTCTTTACTAATGTCTCTAGATGTAGATCTAGTTGTCACAAAATTGACCATGTTTTATCAGTCACCTCCCTTATCTGTAAATATATGGTTTATTCTCAAGAGATTGCTTTTCTCTCTTCCAAACTTGCATAATGACTTAATTTTTCTTTCAATTTTAGGCTATAATTGATCCTAGTTTATATTACATTATTGTATACAAATTCTTTAAATTAGTTTAGTTAATACATATGATGTAAATTATTTTACTATGTTTGACTCAAATTACTATGTTTGACTACAGTATCTAAGGGGCAAAAAATTAATGACAGTTTTCTTTAATAAGTAATGCTATTACTTTGTCACCATTTCAATTCTGAATATTCTTCTTCCCTTCTTTCCCCAGCTATTTGTTTATACTGATTGGATAGCATCTTTATTTTTCTTCAGTTCTTGCATATAGTTAAACAGTAAATTGACATTTTGGTTTCATTATAAATTATTTTGTGTCTTGTTTTTGTTAACAGTTAAGTTTTACTCTAGACCAGTGATGGCTACCCTTTTTGGCACTGAGTGCCAAAGCACGAGTCGGAAACCGGAAGCTTAGCTTCCCGGCACATGCATGCGCACCAGCCATCTGGTCTTCCAATTTTTAACGTGCATGTGTGTGCCAAGACTATCTGGCCGGCATGCACATGCGCTCCGGGGAGCTGCTCTTCCAGTTTCTGGTGCTCCTGCACATGCAAAGACTAGATGCGCGCCAGAACCCAGAAGAGCAACAGGCAGGGGTGGGATGCTACCATTTCTGCCTGGCTCTATAGAGCCAGTAGCTCTGAAGAGTAGCAGACATTGAACCGGTTCTGTATCTGCTGCTGTTTGGCCCACCTGCCTGCCTGGACTCTTACCTGTCTTTTATTTCCTGCTTTTTCAACCTCAGCTGCTTTGCAAGGCACAGCTGAGGTTGAAAAAGCAGTAAAAAAGTGGCTTTTGAAACGCTGCACACCCACGCGCAGCACTCATCAGCTGTCCAGGCAGCACAGTTTAAGGTGTATTACATGTGTGCGCACAGCATACGTCTGGCGCGCATGCGTGCAAAGTGCACACATGCGCGCAAAACGTAATCACCGAACCGGTAGTAACACTGGTTGAATCCCACCCCTGGCAACAGGTAATAGCTGGTGTGCCCGGAGAGATGGCTCTGCATGCCACTTCTGGCACATGTGGCATAGGTTTGCCATCACAGCTTTAAACTGTTACAAACTAGTCCACCAATCAGCTACTTAAGTAAAGAAAGTCAAATAATTGTTCTTAAAATGTATTTTTCTTTTTGCAGAATAACCATGTGCATGGACAACCATATACAGGGCCTGCAGCACACCATATGAACAATCCTCAGCGAACTGGCCAACGAGCACAAGAAAATTATGAAGGCAGTGAAGAAGTTTCACCACCTCAGACAAAAGAATAGTGAAAATGCACATAATTAACTTGCTCCATCAAGACTGTGCACCCAGGCCTTACAGTCCAACTTTTCTCTGTGTCTGGCTGAAAAACTATTCCTAATCAACATGGAGTGAAGAGTCTATTCACTGTCTTATCTGCAGAAAATTGCTGTCAATATATAACCTGCCTGCAGTGGAAAGTGTATAGTGTTTTGTAATAAATGGCCTGATGCTAATGTGTAAATGGCAAAGGTGTATATAGTATATTAATGTTTGACTGTTAATTCTTAAACAAGAAACTTTTTTTGTCTTGAATGAGACTCACAGATCTACAACAATTAATTTCTTGATATATCAGCTGCTCTCTACAACCAGTGTTGCCTGCCTAATGGCAGTTAAATCAACTCCACTTCTTACCCTTGCCCCACCCAAAAAGTAAGCCTCTTCATGTCAACCAGAAAAAATACTTTCATATAATTCTTTGCCACTGGAGTCCATTTTACTATGAGCATCATAATGACTGGTAACCTTTTAATTCTTTGGTTGATGTGGAAAATTGGTGATATACCTTGTTTCTAGGTCTTTTTCCATTGCCTTTTCCATTCTGGTATTCAGTTAATCACTTGAAGCTATAGTTAAGCTGTAACATTTAGCATGGCTTCACACCAAGTTAGAGTAGCCAGTGAGGAAAGAAAATTTCAGTTGTCCAAAACGACAACTGCTGTTTAAACCTTTTCTTCAGACACCTGGGTTATAAAACACGAAGGGAGGGTTGGGCAAAGTGGCTGATGTTTTTCAGTTGTACTTACGTTCCTCACATCTGATGTTTGACAGTTCTATCTCTGGATGGGGTGAAAAAAAAAACATTTAGTTTTCAGTAATAGGAAATTTAAAAAAAATTAAACAAATATGCAAATTTTGCTACGCCAGGATGCCTGGAGCATAAGAGACTATTTGGTGTGCTTGTTTTGTTTCTTCAATAGAGCTTATTTGATAAAACTTCTAATACTTTCCTTTATACTGCACTGCAGTGAAGTGGAAGTCAACAAAATCACACAATACTTGTGAGTGCCACTGCACCAAGTTAACTTGCTGATTTTCTGCTCATGCACAATTCTACTTGAAAGCAAGAATTGTCTTAGCTCTATATCCATTATAAGAGAAATCTTAACCTTAGGAGCAGGGTTTGATTAAAGTAAATAAACTACTGGTTAGTCAAATATAAACCCAAAGTATCTCTGTTCCAGAGTAAACATTTGTTTAAAGACTTCAAGAAACTCATCAGTAAATACTGTATTTAAATTAAAAATTGGTAACTTGAATGTGTGTAATTATTTTGGAACCTTTCAAAAAAACCAAATACCCCCTGCAAACAGATACAGCCCACCCTATACTATTTAAATATTTGCTGTTTTATTTTACAGAAATTTATTTTGCTGAATTCACAAATAGAATTTGATTTAAGAAGACTATTTTTGTCCTGTGGTATGTGTGTGGTTTTTTTTTTAAACAGAATGCACAGGTAGTTGAATTCTGTGCACTATACTGAATTCTGGAACAAAAGTCACAGTGAGATTTGGTGGACAGAAATTTGACCCTTTACAAAGAATAAAAAAAGAAACCTGTCAGTTTCTTAATGTGACTATCTTGTACTTTTTGTATGTTTTATATGTACATATATATTTAATGAGCACAAGCTTTCTGGTATTTTTATTAAGTTATAATACAAACTGCTGCTTATCAAATTTAGGATTTATAGTTGAAATAAGTAAAATGAGGAAATCACAGATTTCTTTTGCAATTTAGTGTAACTAGAGTCTTAACACATTTTTATTCTAGGTAACAGTGTTCATGTTACCGTTCCAGGTTTGCTCTAATATATTGTTATGTTTTAATAGCATTTTCTTAGATTGGTTAACAACATTTGACTGAAGCTTTACCCATCTATCTGGGTAAATTTACTACTAGTTTAAACAAAATAATACTCTGATTTTGTGTTAGAACCTCAAGCAATCCCTTAGTCCATCATTTATTGTTAGATGTTATTTCAAAGACTCTTTTTGCCTTTCAAAACAAGATAGTTCTTACTTCAGCCTTGGAGGTGGGGAGTGGGGGAAGCAAGTGTGACACAATTGTGGAACAATGGTTCACAATGCTGTATGTTTTTTACCCTCCATGGGGGACCATGTTTTCAAATGTTCAGCTTAGGGTTCTTTCTATAAACTTTACGGAAAACTGTATGAGAGTATGGTTAATTAGAAGTCAATGGTAGCAGAAACATGAGAATTATTTTTGCTTTTGGCAAAATGTTAGATTTATTCCTTTTAAAATGTTCTACGCAGTAATTTATGCTTCTGTCAGTATGGCAACAATAGCTTCAAAACTGTAATTTTATTACCTCAATATTGATGGCACACATTAAAACCAAGTCCTCAAAGTGCCTAAATGTTTGATTTTACTTTTACTTTTATTATTGAATTCTGTTTTTTGTTTTTAACACCTAAGGAGAAACTGCTGTCTTCCATAAAAGTCATTCACCTAATGTTAATCTTACCTTTTAAAAAATAATTTTAAGATTCAAACAAAAGTAAGTTGAACAGCTGTAGAGAAAAATAGCAATTTTCTTATCAGAATGTATTTATAAAAATAGCTTTCATTTTTATAGGACCAATGCTGTATACGTATAACTCTTTATCACTGAGCTCCATGAATACTAAATGTTTTGTTTTAGTATTCTCACTGCTAAATTCTAACCTAATTAAATAAGTATGCATGGCTGCCAGCTTGCTGTTTTTTTAATGTATTTTCACTTTTAAATGCCAAAAGTCACAGGAACCTCATTCATTAAAAAACAAAACAAAACTAGATTCTAATCTTTAGCAGTTTTGGGAAATAATGGTAAGCATGATTGCAATGATCTCTGGAATAAAAGCAGGATGTAAAAAAATATCCAAAATAGAATTTTAAGCCTCATAATTCTTAAGTTCCATAATGTAGTTGGTTTTTAGAATTAGCTTTAGAAATGCATGTATTGATTTGCTTTTCAGACAGAATTACTTAGAAATAATTATATAGAGAATGTGTATATATTGAGATAACTTTTGAATGTCCTTTGTTCATAAGTGAATTAAAAACAGTATTTGAAATAGTCAGTGTAGTGTTAAGAATAAAATAGTTTTTCTTTCCTCTTTTGGCACACTTAGAAGAATACATGATCTTTCCACAGCTGTACAGGTATTCTTAAATGAAGTTGCACTTTAAAAACAAGCTGCAAAATGTTTGTGTTAGGTTTCATGTTTCATGAAAAGCATATTCCCTAGGTGGAATAATCTGAAGAATTATCCCAATAACACTCCTGTGTGTTTCATTGGAGCTTGATCAAAATACTGTTTTGTTTTTCAGATAGTCCTAGTGTTCACTAATCTCCGTGTACTGTTTATAAAAAAAATAGTAATATTACCAAATGTTATATGGCTAAATGTTTGTGCTATATAAAATAGATCGTTACGGATGTTGTTAACACAGATTGTGCTAGGATTCACATTCATAAAAACTATTTTACCAACAAACAAAAATCCCAAGAAATTTCTGCAAGAAATAAATACTTCAGAAAAATACAAACATTTTTCTCTCAAAGGAGATTATGGCAAGTTAAAAATATGATAGGGCAAATTCACACTTGTATGTGTACCATTTCATGATACTCATGTCAGGTGGTGATTTGTATGTTACTGAGTCATAAATGTTTTGGCTGAAACATTTGCAGTTTTGCAATGATTTCTTTCCTAAAATATGAAAAAAAAATGACAGAAGAGAGCTTCTATCTTTTCCTATTCCTTCTAACAGTCTATCCTGAACTCAAGAATTGAGTTCAGAATCTATCTGAATTGGAACAGTTATCTTCTCTCTTCTCAATTCTAAGAAACTATTTGGGGGAATGGGGAGGAGGTAGCTGAAATGTACTGTTTTCCATTTTCTTTCATAATTAGTTTACCAAATCCAACTTTTTTTCCCCAAAAGAATCTCCCAGTACAGTAAATAGAAGCAAGTTGCTACATATTAATCCTGTTTTAGCTATACATTTGGCTGTAGGCTCTATCAACTTTGTTTGGCTTGTTTGGAACCATATAAAAAGAAGAAAAACTTTTCCTTATTTTACATTTGGAAACAAAATAGATAAAATCCACACATGTTCTAATTAGTTTCTCAACTTCCTATTTTTGAAATTAATTAGGCTTTTTTTCTATTTGTCTATTTAAACATGGCTGCAGAATTAATATTGTTCATTATATTAAGCTATTTCTACTACTTCCTATTTCATGAGGAATTTTACACTGAATTTCACTGTTTTTTTCCAAATCAAAACATATAATTTCTGTATTGAAGTGGATTTGAATCACAATGGATTCCAGGTGTCTAAAATAAATACATTTTGGTTACTAAAAGCTACTACCTGCATTGGTGACTTGCTCTACTACAAAGCATGTACTTAGGGACAGGCCTAACTACAAATCAGGAAGTTACCTGTTTGAATTTCATTTGCTGAAAGCTCACTAGATAGCCTTGGGCAAGTTACTCCTTCAGCATCAGACTCTCTTATTAAGGTTATGCACTATAGTTGGATGAAAGAAATTATGCATCTTCAGTCAAATCATAGTAAAGCTGAAAACAGGTTGAATTTTCAGCAAGACAGTGATCCAAAACATACCTCTGGTTTAGATTTATTTAAAATAGAAGCTATTTTTTTTAATGGTCTTCAAGGTCAATCAAATGGTCTTCAAACAATTTTCAAGATTGTTTCTGAGTTAGAAATCTTATGCGAGTGAGGGAGAAAGGGGGGCAAAAATCAAAAGCCCAAATAAGACTACTAACAATAGAAAAATGAAAGCTGCTAACTTCTGCCAAAGGAAGCATTAATGAGCACCGATTAAGGGAAAATACAGGCTGCAGTATTATATTCACCATTTTCTCATTCTGATTCTGCAAGCACCACATAAAGATTAAGTAGGCCTTCAAACCTTACAGAGATCTGTTGAACTGTTACACGTAAAGGTGTCAGCTTCTGTTCATCCAATCTACATTTTGACCAAGGGTACCTAAACTTTAAAATCACTCTTCATTTCTGTCACTGTAGTAACTTACCAGCTGCATACAGTTGGGTTTTCTCTTTTTGTTTTCTGATTTTTAAATCTTTCACAAGTGCTTTATTGGGAGTAATCAGCATTAATGTATGTTCTACCCAATATCCCTGCGAATACGCTACCAAGGGCTGTGTCATTGATGGGTAGCGATTCAAACTTCTATCATGAAAATGAGTCTCAGTCATGGGGATGTCCGTTGACTGACACAAGCACAACTGTCAAAGTGTATGCCAATCAAATTATTTATTTTCTATAGATCTTTTTAATTCATTTTGCTTTTTCTTGATCCAATAATAATTCTAACATTTATTAAACAGCTTTTGTCATTTCCCCCCAACCCACCCGCCAGTCACAATGATACCAAAAATATTTGTTTTATTTGATATGGATTAATTTTCTGACCTCTTTAAAAAGAAAAGGTATTTTCAGGATTTTACTCTATTAATTTTGGGGACAAACTGGATGACATTTTTACTGTTTTGCTTTTTTAAAAATGCTATCTTTTTGATAGTTCATCCTTTTTTTCTTTTTAAAAATGCATCAGTTGCTCTTAATGTAAACAGCTAAATGTTCACTTAAATTCATGGTGTACCTTGTTTCTTTTCTTTTTCTAATTACTTAGAGTGCAAAAGGATTCTGATTGTTCCTGCACATTTGTTTTCTGTATGCCTCTTTCTATACTGGCTTACCTCTGAATAATAATGTAATATTGCTTAATCTACCTTTTTTTTCTAATTTCAAGTCTGTTTTTGAATATCAAAAATGTGTCGCTTTCAGTACAGTATTATGGTTGTTTGGCTGACTTTTGAACAATAACTGTTCTAAAGCACTCAGTTTTCTTTGTATTGAGCCATGGTGGCGCAGTGGTTAGAATGCAGTACTGCAGGCTTCTGCTGACTGCAGCAGTTCGGCAGTTCAGTTCTCACCAGCTCAAGATTGACTCAGTCTTCCATCCTTCCAAGGTTGGTAAAATGAGGACCTAGATTGTTGGGGGCAAGAGGCTGACTTTGTAGGCCGCTTAAAGAGGGCTGTAAAGCTTTGTGAAGTGGTATATAAGTCTTAAGTTCTACTGCTAACTGCTATCCTGCATCTGGAGCTTTCTCCCTCCACTGAAGTCACCTCACAAATGGGCACCACATCCAGGAAGGTCCAGCGTCAGCAGGCTTCTGACTGTCCACATGTAATGGCTTGTCTTCCCACCAAAGAAGGGAAATAGTCCAATGGGTGTAAACTTGGATTTCCTGCTACAAGAGTTTCTATCATTACTTACAAAAGGGCAAAGGGAAGTTTAAGTAAAGAGCTTGAACTAAAATCCAATGAACATGACTATGATTTCAGGACAGATAACCTTTTCTTTCTTTGGGACTAATTCCAAATATTTTGCAATATTTTTATTTTTAAATATTGAAACGTGTTCTTTTATAAATGCTAAATGCTTTCTCAATTAGTCTTTTTTAACCCTTATAACTGACATGATTTAAGTTCTGATGTTTTTGTATTTAAATACAATTTTTAAAAAATGAGGTAGGTTTATTAATGTCTTAATAAATATTCTGCTTTCTTAAAAGGCAAAAGTTCTCGCAGCTATAGTAGAGTGTTCAAACATGCTGTCAATATTATTGAACAGTAGTTCTAAAAGGACTTAAACTTTGCTGTTTTGAACATTGTAACTTCTAATTTGCAAGTAGCAAGTAATACTGGCGTACAACTTTGGATCCTATGGAATGCAATTTCCCATTCCCGACCATTCCTTCCTGCTCTTCCAAATATTTACTTTCAGATTCTACTGGTTTTTGAAAGCACGGGAGCAGGAAGTTGCATTGAGAAGGGAATTGTATTATCTCAGCAGCTCAAATGCCATTTGGTTGAGAAAGACTAAAATGTTATTTCTCACAAGTTATGAAATAGTTACATTTTAATGCTCATTCTTTTCATTAGCAGACTAAAATAAATATTTTGCCTAAGAAATTGGAGCTATATATTTCATTTGCAATTTTTAACAGTTTGCTGCCCTAGAATATCTTTTGCTTCACTATACTACTTATAATTTTAAATTTCCGGTAAAAAGGCTAAAGCACGATAATTTATTTGCAAATATGTTATTGCGGGATATTCTGCCTCACATATGCACATATACAAATATATAAAGTTATAACTACATTAAATTAATGAAACTTTATAAGTACAAAGTAGTTAAAATTTTGCTACAACACATCAGTTAAACTTAACTGGTATAACTTAATGGAATCAGTTAAGTTATACCAAACCTATAATTGAAAATTAAATATTCCAGTATGTTCATCAAAATTAATCCCTGAAGGAGTCATCTTCTAAATTGATGGGGATCATAAAACTAGTCTAGATGATACTTGCTTTAGATATTTGCTCCCAACTCTATAGCAGCTCTTTTCAAACTGATCCTTTTCAGACGTAACTACAATTCTCAGAATTTCCTGACAAATTTGAGATCATGCTGGCTGGGAATGCAGAGTTATAGGCCAAATACATCTAAAACATACCAGGATTGGATACAATTGTCCTGTTTTTGAAGTGGGCTTGCCAAGTTAAAGAGCTGAATATTAGCTCTGGTGACTCCTTGGGGCATGAAGAAACAGCAAATTATGAACTCTTCTTCAGAATGAAGGCAGGTCCAAGTTCTAAAAAAATTAAATCTGCTGAAACTGAACAATTAATGGATCTGAAGAATAATCTTCCATTATCAAATAAAATAGGCATTTGAAATATTCATAATTCATTTACATTCTTAAGTTTGAATATATATTATTCATCAATGCTATTAACTTCTAGGGGAGAAAATTGAGGGTGCCCTTTTGAGAAATGCTGAACAACAAAAAAGGGATGGATGGAGAGGAGATACAACTTTTCTCTGCCCATTAGATCTTTATCCAAATCAGAGTCTGGAGTTTAAAGAGAGTGGATTAATATCATCTGTGCTCCTCTACAGAAAGGATATTTTAGAAAGCCCAAATATTCATCTACTTTCCTCATTAACAAAAGTTAACTTTCCAAAGTTATTAATTTCAACCTTTTTATGTATTATCATTAGCAGATAGTGTTGCTGGGATTTATGCTTTGGATAACATCATTATAAGGCTGATTCTAAACATTGCATCTTGTTTTATTTTGCAGTATTGCTGTTTGCGACATTAGAGATGCAAAAACTGTAAAATCCATGAAACATATGCTTTGATTTTAATGGATGTTATTAAGGACTGCAAACTGTTCCATGTGGGTAACAACCATTTTCAATACAGTATTTGAATATGACAGGCTTGAATTCTAGGATGGCAGCTATAAAAGAAGGCATGGAAAGAAGGCACCAAGGTTACTGGGAATCCAAACCCTGCAAAGGAAGAGAGTGGTGAGGTGCAGCAGTCTTTTCCAACATGCCCTGTAAGACTATTATATTTGTT